TTATACATAAACCGTGCAGGACGGATAGATTCAACAATGGAGAAATAGAAATTCGGCGACAACCTAAAAAAACAGGAGCTGGTGTTCTAATCTGGATTGTTGCTGCAGCATTTGGAGTAGTATTGTGCTTCCTCATTGTGGGTGTCCGATGTTTCTATTTGAATTATAGCCAACGATTTTCAAGTGATAAGGAAATTGGACCGTGGAAGTTAACAGCATTTAAAAGGTTAAATTTTACGGCAGATGATGTCCTGGAAAGCATAACAACCACAGACAAGATACTAGGAATGGGATCTGCAGGTAAGAAACATCCTAAATATTACCATCTCTGTCTCAATTTATGTGATGCAGCTCGGATTTCAAAGTCAAATGAGCGTTATTTTTTTGTCGCGAGCTTTTTATATGCATTTTCAATATTTTGAATTGTCAAAATATTATGACTAGTAGTACTTTTTATATAGTTTCCAAATATGTATTTTTATATCAAAAACTTAAGCGTTTGGACATAAAAACTATAATTTTTTTAAATATATATATGGAGTTAAGTTGAAAAACAGCACTTGGAATTTGAAATTATGTTTGGACTTGCATCTCACTTTGAAAAAAATATTGCAGTTTTGTGAGTGGGGAAAAAAAACATTTTGAAAAGTGGGCTTTTGAAAAACTCATTTTCCCTTCGGGGATGGCCCGGTTGGTTTGGAGGGCAGTCATCCATATAGATGATTTGGGATCGATACTCCCTCAATGCCTTCTGAGTCGAGCCTGTCGCACAGGGATTGCCTAGTGCGGTTTACATCCCCTGTGTGGTTTGCATGTTATTACATAGTTAGGGGTCTACCCAGTACGCACAGAGTACTCACCCGAAAGGCAGAAGTTGTGGCAGAGGCCGTAACGACTGTGGGTTTTTCTGGGTTGCCAAAAAAAACTCATTTTCAAAAAATTTCAAAAAACTTACAAAATTTCATTGACAAACACTTTTTTGAAAAAAGTCGGAAAAGAACTATGGACAAACGGGTCCAAAAGATTCTACATTTAATTTTGCAATAAAATTAAGGAGTTTGACTCTCGAAATTCAAACTACATCAATAATATTATAAATATTAAATATGAACTCATATTTTCAAACAACTCAAAACGTTGACTCGTTTGAATCTGTTTCAGGTACAGTGTACAAGGCGAAAATGCCAGGTGGCGAGATCATAGCGGTGAAGAAACTATGGGGAAAACAACAAAAGGAGACAATAAGGAAAAGAAGGGGTGTGTTGGCTGAGGTTGATGTCTTAGGCAACGTAAGACATAGGAATATTGTGAGATTATTAGGTTGTTGCACTAACAATGAGTGTACCATGTTGCTGTACGAGTACATGCCTAATGGTAGCCTTGACGACTTGTTACATGGCAAGAACAAAGATACAAATTTTGTGGCTGATTGGTCTACTAGGTACAAGTTTTTGTCACTTCAAATTTATTTGGTATGATAATGACTTGAATTGAGCCGAGAGTTTATCGGAAGTAGCCCTATATCTCACACAAGGTAGAGGTAAGGTCCGAGTATACTCTACCTTTTTCGGATTCCACTTGTGAGATCATACTCAGGGGCGTAGGCATCTTGCTTGATTACGGTGTCACATGACACCGCTTTATCGAATTTTTTTTTGCAATTTGTATGTGTAAATAATAAATAACATTAAAATATTTGGTATAAATAAAAAAATGACAATATTTGCCGTTATAGTAATTTATTTACTTGTTCACTTTTTCAAATATTGATACCATTTACAAAAATTCATGCATACGCTAATGATCATACTGGATATGTTTTTGTTGTTGTAATGACGTGAGTTGCGCTTATATAAAGAAGTACTGAAGATTCATATTGCAGATCTCGATATTTGGAACTGAAACATAGTCGTTGTTTTTATTGATTTACTAGGTACAAAATTGCACTAGGGGTGGCACAAGGAATTTGTTACTTACATCATGATTGTGATCCTGTAATTGTTCATCGTGATCTAAAACCTAGCAATATTCTTTTGGATGGAGAAATGGAAGCTAGGGTTGCTGATTTTGGAGTTGCTAAATTGATTCAGTGTGATGAATCCATGTCGGTGATTGCTGGATCTTATGGCTACATTGCACCCGGTAAGTATTTTAATCTCTTTAATTTTCAAGGATTATTTTCAATAATCAGTTAAGTTAAGTAGTACAATTTGAACTGCACCACATAAATTCGAATCTAGTTGTCTTGTGTGTGTTTGGTATGATCGAAAATCCTTTTTTCAAAGAAAAATCTTTTATCCCAAAAATATTTTCAATGAGGTAATCATAAATAATTGTTACGCAAATAGTCGATCATATTCAATGTTTATTTTTCTAGCTGATATACATATATTATACATATTTATGTACATATTATGCATGAATTGTAAATATATTTTATGTATTCACCAGCTATTTTTAGTTTAAAAGATTAGGTGGCAGTTTTTTGGGTGAATTCTTGATAGTTCATACACAAATTGCCGGTCAAATTCACTGATTACTTTTTTAGCCGATATATATAGATTATACATTAATTATATATGAATTTTATATTTATCATATATTCGCACACTTTTTTTAATTTAAGAAATTAAGTGAGCAACTATTTGGATTAATTCATCAAATATTTCCCTTTTCATTAGGCGGAACTGGAAAATTATTTCCTTATCATCTTTAGTTCTCAAAAATATAAAAAGATAGCTCGTACACTAAACTCTCGTTATGTGTGGGATCCGGAAAAAAAAACCGGACCACAAAGGTCTATTGTACGTCATATTGAATTACTTCCGTTATGAAAATACAATTTATACGATCAGCAAAATTTGATTAAAAGTTCTGTCCCTAGTGACTGTGAAGGAAAATTTGGATTTATCCAATGTTTATTATTTTATGCTTTAGAATGTCTTTTTTCTGTTGTGTAATGTTTATCCAAAAATCTATCGTCATCCTGTCGGTTTAGTTCGTTCTGTAGGGTGACGAAAAGAGTCACTTACATGCTTAACGTGGTGTCATGTCATAAAATGCTGTATTTGGTGAACTTCATGGTCTATTCTCTCCATTTTTTTATTGTTTTAATCGTAGTATTCAGGTACACTTTGTTCGAAGCAAGTGAAGAAATTACTTAATAATTTTGTCTCTATTAAAATTTGAACCTTGTAATTTTCAATTACTTCATTGATTGTTGGGTCTCACCTTTATATGTTTGTTTCTGTCCATTTTCAAGTGTCAAATGCCTCAATAGTTTCAACTTATGGGAATCTATGTTACTCGTAGAACTAGTTCATATTTTGAACTTGTGCACCAATATTTAGAGAAAATTTGCGATATTTTTCCAAAAATTTACATAGTAGGAGGGAGATGATATGTTATAGAATGCAGTTTACTTTTGCTGTCTTTAATTTGAGAGATGGATCAATGATGTTAAGTTAATGAATACCTTCGTCGCTGTTGTTGTTATTAGTATTTAGTGCTTTGTGATGATATATAGGTAAGAATTTGGTATAAATATATATATTTTCAAGAAAGTTTTCAAATCATCATAAAGTGTAAGGGTGGCACAATAATTATCATCATCTTCTCTTTTTTGCTCTTTCTCGCCGTGATTTAGTACTACAGTTTTAATTTAACCTTTTAGGGGCCATGGGCAGTACTAAATGGGTGTGTTGGCCCTTAGGCTTTAATTTTGATTTTCACTTTATGTTATTCTTTGGACCCACACAGATTTTCCCAAAGTATTATCTGAATCTTCATGATTATTAATCCCCCTAATTTATTACTAGTACTAGTACTATATTCCTTGGCCTTAATATTAAAGAGTCAAACATACTAGATTTCTAGGCGCTATAAGACAATATGTTATGATAACCCGTTTATTTTTTTTATTATTTTTCTTAGTTTTTTCCATAGTGTTTCTTAAATGGGAAAATGATACTGTATAGTCAGTTTCTCAAAATAATAGCTGAAAAATGTATATTTTATGTATATATTTCCGGATTGGTTTGCTGGTGTTGTTGCTTGTTGTTACTCTTTTCCTTTATTCATCACGAGCCTTTTTACCCTTTTTATCTCTTTTGTTTTTCCTGAGTCGAGGGTCTACCGATCGAAAACAACCTCTCTATCTTTCCAAGGTAGGGTTAAGGTCTGGGTATACACTACCCTCCCAGACTTACGGTATTATACTAGGTATTGTCGAGATAACCCATTTATTCGTGCTAGATAGTTATGTTTACTTAATTATCTTACTTCTAGAACTTCTTAACTTGTAGTACAAGTACTCATCCAAGTCCATTAAAATGTAGTAATACTATAGTTGACCAAGTATGTTGTATGTTTGCAGAATATGCTTATACATTGCAAGTGGACGAGAAGAGTGACATCTACAGCTATGGGGTGGTGCTAATGGAAATTTTGTCCGGAAAAAGATCGGTAGATCAAGAATTTGGTGATGGAAATAGCATTGTAGATTGGGTGAGGTCCAAAATGAAAAACAAAAATGATATATATAACGTGTTGGATAAAAGTGTTGGCGCTTCATGTCCTCGGGTGAGGGAGGAAATGATGTTGTTACTCAGGATAGCGTTACTCTGTACTAGCCGAAATCCCGCTGATAGACCTTCTATGAGGGATGTTGTGTCTATGTTACATGAAGCCAAACCTGAAAGGAAGTTGTCCACGAATGATGGTGGTAGTGCAACTGCGGCATTTTCTTTGGTACAAAAAACCAATGTTGAGTGTTAATATAATTTGGATTTTTTTTGCTCTCTTTTTCTCTTCAAATTGTGGGGGATTTGTATAGGAGAATCAATATTTTGTTTTAAACTTTATCTAGTGGAGATTCATGGTGTTGTGATTCTATTATTACATATCGAATAGACCACTAATTTTAACTTTACTAGTAACAAATAAATATTGATATCAAGGATTACAAAAATGGAACAAAATATAATGATATTAAGTACTCTTAGAATATCTCAAAACGGTGTGTTTGGTCTAAGGAAAAAAGATATATTCAAGATCAAGCTCCTTCTTATCTGCTCCTCTCCTTAGCCAATTGGATACAATGTACTCGCAAGGTTTCCTCTTCTACCTGCACATAGAAAGAGATCATTGATCGGAGAAAAAATTGAATTAAATTCTTCGTTTTTATAAAAGCCTTACAAAAAAAATAGGAATAAGTTGACACGTTCACTAAAAAAAGTCCCCTTGTAGCCAATCATTTACTAATATTTATGAATTATGAGCGAACAAATATAGTGCCCAATTAAAAAAGAATGATTTTTAATTGGTTGAACCTATCTTCACTTTAAACCATAAATATAACTAAAAGAAGCTAATTAGTTAAAACATATATTTACAAAAAGCCACTACAAAAAAAAAATTAGAGTTCTTTGTGGCGACTCGAAAATCACTGAGACATGTCTAGTCGTTGAAGTGACTACATTTCGTCACCGCAAAAGTCACTATTAGCGACTCTTAATAGTATAGTAATATAATGTAACCTCCAATATATTTTAGTCATGTTTTAGCTATGGTTAATTAGATGAAAAAGAAGTTGGCGAATTGAAGTCGCGAGGCTAGGAAATGGAACTTGGAACTAGTTGTTGCGTGTGAGATATGGCAAAAGAGATTGTATTTAATTTTGGAGCAATGAACGTTTTAGATAAGAAAAAATGATAAGACATTTACAGATAAATTATCAAGAAATAAAGAAGGACAATGAGAAAGAATTCAAGTAAATAAGAGTTTACTTAATAGAGTTGGAAACTTGCTATTGGACAGATTCACCCATAAGGGGAAAAAAATTAGGCAGTGGACATAAGGTATTTTATCCGTCATGCGAGAATTTTCAACGACCAGTAATTCGAGTCATGATTGTTACAGACAATCCGCTTTCACGGAGAAAAGTTCATAAGTCTCCTACCTAGTATTACGTGTTAAATACTTCAAATAGACGTCATCAAAGAACAAAAAGGAAATTAAAAGCTAGATCTCACCTCTAAAGAAGAAACTGTATTTATATGATTCTCTAGTTCCTCCAAAAACTCTTTCTCCTGCTTTAAAATGACTATAAGCTCTGTGAGCAAAAAACATGACTGCTCAACCTGGAAAATCAATCACAAAAACTGTTACTAATTTTTTTTCGTTATTCTAATTAATAGATTTATAAATTTTCGCAATGGAGAATTTTGATTAATTACCTCCCATTGCATATTCATAATAAAATCCTCGATACTGTCCATGACTTCCTCAGCTGAGATCACAGCATCATAAACCGACGTCACTTTTGCCTGTCCAAATAATAGAAAATTAATTTTCTGATAATAGAAAATTTGACCTTCCGATTTTTTGTATTTTTTATAATAAATATTCACATATATTTTAATTAATTTAATGAGACAAAAAATAATAATATTACAAATTTATTATTATAGTAGATAATATTCACTGATCATACGTATGATCATATATAAGCTCCCGCTATGCGCGGGGTCTGGGGAAGGGCCGAACCACAAAGGTCTATCGTACACAGCCTTACCCTGCATTTCTGGCTTTCTGCAAGAGGCTGTTTCCACTCGAACCCGTGACCTCCTAAAATCACATGGCAACAACTTTACTAGTTACGCCAAGGCTCTCCTTCAAGAAGTCACCTCTCTCTATATATATATAAACCTTTATATATTTTCAGTTCAACGGAAACAAGTACTAATATAATAAAATTTTCAACTCTACTTAAGATATATTAATAGTATGTATTTCAAAGTAGGGCAACAAAACATGCCACAAAGTTTGTACTACTAAAATTGTTCTCTGTCCCAAAAATTTAATTTCTAAGGTTTTAAAGGAAACAAAATACTATGTGCCACCAAAAATACGTTTTTAATTTTATCCAACGCAACTTCTTTTTATATTTCTCTACTATATATGCCCAACATGATCCCAACTAGTAAACTTAATTTACTTCAATAAATATGTAAAACTGAAGTAAAAGTATTTTAATTAAAAAAAAAAGATAATAAGAATTAATACCTCAGCTCCATCGACTAGTGGAAGACAAAGAGAAACTGCTGACAATTTCCTGGCCACCCTTCCAACTGCTTCAGAATTTTTGACCTCTAATCTTTGCCATTCTCTAAGTAAACGACCTTGAGAATTCATTATTCGGTTTATTTTAATTTCGTGCTTCAATTTTTGCACTTGAATTCTCTTCTCTGCAGTAAAGTTTCTCATTATCGAGATTCTTAACCATACATTGAACAATTTCTTCTGTTACACAACCAAGAANTTACTGGGAAGTGGCAATGGAAGCGTCGGATGTAGAAGCCTTCAATGAGAGTGCATCAATCGCTTCTGAAGCCTCTTGATTATTCATTATCCAGCAAAACGACAGTTGAATTAGGGTATTATGTTATATTTTCGTAGTTCAATAGCTCTTCGGAAATTACACAGCAAAAAAAAAAAAAAAAAAAAAAAAAATTGAAAAATGTTATATCTAGTCCTGAAAACACGAGTAGATAGGCGCACCCAAAATTTTAAGGCAACGTGGAAAATTACTCTGTTCAACCAGTGCTCCCTAAAGGGTTTTAGTATTTGGGGTGTCAAGTGATTTAAATTAATCATTTCCAAGGTATAGACACACATACGATAAAATTTCTACCAAAGTTTACGTGGTCATCTAACTCATCAATAGGACACATAGGTACGCCTCTGCGCATGGCATCATTTAAAAAAAACATATCTCACATAAAGAAATAAAAAAACTCATGATGTGCCACATGATAAAAGACAACAGTATTAGGTTGGGTCAACAATAACTGTCATAATATTCTTTTTAAGTGGTGCAGCGTGAATATTATGTAAAAGTTAATATGTAAGCATATAGGCTATATGCTTTGTTAAATTATATTGTGATATATAGGCATAACTAAATTATTTTCTTATAAAAAAGAATTTTATGATTTTGGTCAATAAGCTGAAAGTCGGCTATGACTGCCCATGAAATTAACTCTCAAATTAAAATTATTGGAAGTATAATAAAATATCTAGCCATTGAAGAATTTAGAAAACGTTACCTGTGCAACCTTCTTGATTGTAGCCATAGAAGCCTCAGCACGAGCATTGACAAACCTCCATTGTACCAACCTATTATTCATAATCCTATATTGATGAAAATCTTCTTCTAATACAGGTGACACTTTTTTCTGCTTAAAATACTTCAAAACCCCAGCAACACCGCCTCGACCGCCACCACTATTCTCCTTAGACTCCACTTTCAATTTTCTTGTACTCGGCGACTTAGGGACCGTATTAGGCAATGGACGTCCTGGTGACAATGCCCATGCAGAAGAAGAATTAGTACTAATCTTACTCTGATTATTGCGTTGTAAGAATTTACCAAAACTATGATGATCTCCATTTTCTTGAGACGACTTTTTAGTCGTCTTGATTTGTGTATAATTTGGGCTTCTCATCAATGGGCTAACATTTTCTTCTCCTCTATAAGTTCTCATTTTCGTCGTTGATTTTGACCGATTGACAAGACTTGGTACAGGGTCTATTGATGAGTAGGTGTGAATTTCGGGGAGTGACATTCCACTTTTGCTTCTTAGTAATCGTGGAGAATTAGCTGGTGATCGCGGAATATTAATGGCTGGTTGATGATTTTGTTTGCGAGTACTGCGATTTTTCTCCTTCTCCATTTTGATGATTTGATGTAAGGTTTTTGTTTTACAGATTTGTATTTTTGGGAGAAAGATTAGTGTATAAAATTCAACAACTAGTTATATAAGAGAAAGAAATGTAGGTTTAGAGAACTATAGCTTATAAGGCTAGTAGTTGAGAGCACGTTAATATGTTTTTTCTTCTTATACTAAATTATATAGTTCGAGGCTAACACGAAAATTGGTCGACTACGTGTATTTATTTTATCATGTATATATGTTAAATGAGGAGGACTTTCTGGAGGTCAACGTTAATTTGCAGTCATTTGATTATACGAAAATGTATCAATCATTGGTTGCTTTAACCACCAACAGACGTGGTGCGGTGGATGAGACTGTTCTTCCCTTAACTAGAGATTTCGGGTTTGAGCTTTGGGTATGAAAAAATCCTTGGTAGGGAGCGCTTCCCCCGGATGGGGTCCTACGCGGTGCGAATCCGGATATAGTCGAGCTCCAATGTGAGTACCGAATACCGGGTGGGAAACTAAAAAAAAAAAGATTATACGAAAATGTTAGACAAGTCGTCCTATTAACCAATATATGTGAAATCCCGTTTTTGACTAGTTAGATTACTACTCTGATTAGCAATAACAATAATAATTATCATTACGCTTCAATCTCAAATATATAAGAGTCATATAAATTGAAATCGGTTATATAAAGTCTCATTGCCTATATTTTTCTATTTGAACGCACCACAGGTTCAATGTTACATTCAAAATAAAAACAAACATAAAAAGTAGTATTAGAAGTCTGTATTTTCTACTGAGATAAATATGTAATTAGGCTAAAAGATTCCTAAAAGGAATATGACCTAAGGTAAATGAACTAACACGACTGAAATGTATTTTGAGTTAATTAGTATTGCCTATATAACTTTCTTACTGTGTCCTAACTTTTGCTAAGTTGTTATAGGTTCTAAAAGATTATCGGTCTTTCAAAATTATTTTCTTACATGTAATTTTAGAGTTACTTCGTTTTCTTTTAACACCTTCACTTGACATGATTTCACATCTACAAATGAATGCATCTCAACACAAGGCATGACCAAACTATATTTCAAAATTTCTTTCAATTTATCCTCAATATAATGTGTGTTACTTATACTTTCTGACAAAATATGATTATTTTTAATCATGTCCAATCTTCTACAAATTACGATTGCACAACCAACTTAGCATTCACATCTTTATGATACTCAGCCCAACATCCACACCATGTATCATTGTTGTAACCATCTATAAATGTACTTTTCACTTTGATAAATATCCTTTTAACTAATGATGTAAATATCTGATTAACTGCATGTGTTTTCACAAATTATTATGGGTATTATGTACGGATAAAATCGAAGATAATGTTACCCCAATTCCCCGATAAGGAAGCTAGAGGGAGGCTTGATCTGACGCAACTTCGAGCGAAGCCGAATGGTCACTTGTTTTGGAGCCCAGGGAGTATGAATGGTGCAGCTGGGATCAGGCACGGCCAAACAACGGATTCGGACCAAGTAAATTTTCGAGACCAAGTAAAAAGAGAAATGATTGAGCATGACGAGCAGGTAGCCGTAATATTCGCCTCAACCGGATATTACGAAACAAATACCGTCCAATATCAATTGCAAATAGATATTTGCCGAAAAAAAGAAGATTCTTACCTTATTTAGACTTGTACTAGGATTGAAATTCTCCTACTATATAAAGGAGGAACTTTTTCATTTTAAACCATTGTTGGCAGACATATCAAAGCAATAAAGTTTATTTTTGTCTTCTAGCCGTTATTTAAAAGTGTTCTTCAGTTCTTCATCTTTTTGGTTACACCTGAGCCCATATCAAGGGCTCGATCGGAGCCAATCTCAGTGTTCAATTCAAAGTCAAACTTAATTGTTCCATTGTGTTTGGTTTGATCGTTTTATCTATCATTAATTTAATTATTGGTTGTTCTTACATCATGTGTGTTAAATTAAATCTTGTATCCTTTAAATCGCGAACAAATTTAATTGTTACTCATTTTTAAGGGTAAACAATTTGGTACCTACCGTGGAGCAAAAGATAATAGTGGTGATTTAATACGAACTCCATAACACACCATATTTTATACTTGTTCTTCGAAGTTTGATTTCAAGTTAACCTAAGGATGTCAAATTCCTAGTCTGCTCACTTGAACGTTGACGCCGAGTCAGGCCACCAAGGTGAAACAGTAACATGGTACATAGCAATGATGTTTCCCCCTGTTGATCCCAATGGTGTTCCAGTAGCTGACCTAGTGGATGCTAACTCACAGGCTGCCATCAATATTAATCTGCCAACCAACCTAGAAAATAGCATTCGCGGGGCACCCGTCCATTGCCTCGAGAAGCACCCAAAGGAGAAGGCGATCGGGTTAGCTTGCGGTTGATTTTAAAAATATCGCAAGCTTATCAAGCGGCAATAGCACAATTACAGACCCAAAGTCACGTGCCTAACAAGATCGAGTCTGAACGGGTCAAGTAAAACACTCGAAGGAATGAATAAATAACCTAGGAACCGGATGAGTTCGGACCCGAGAAAACTTCCGAGGTGATGAAGATACTCGAAGCATTGACGAATCGGGTGGAGTCTGGCAAAAAAAGATAGAGGCCATCGACAAGAAGATGAAAACTTATAATTTCTGGGTCGATTAGATCCCGGGAGTGCCTCCAATATTGAAGGGGCCGGAGTCCCAAAAATTCATTCAGAAGCCTTCCCCCCCGAATGCGACGCCGAAGCCGATCCCGAAGAGATTCTGAATGCTTGACATTCCCAAGTATAGTGGGACCACAGATCCAAATGAGCATGTAACCTCTTATACATGTGCAATAAAAGGGAGAATGACCTGGAGGACAACGAGATCAAATTGATGTTGTTGAAGAAATTTAGGGAAACCTTGTCCAAAGGAGCAATAATATGGTATCACAACTTGCCTCCAAATTCTATTGATCCATTTGTTGTGCTCGCGGATGCTTTCGCAAAGGCCCATGCTGACGCCATCAAGGTCTAGACAACAAAGTCGGACCTTTTCAAAGTCAAGCAAAGAGATAACGAGATGCTAAGGGAATTCGTGTTGAGGTACCAAATGGAACGAATGAACCTGCCCCCAGTTGCAGATAATTGGACCGTTTAGGCGCTTACCCAAAGGCTCAACCCCCGAAGTTCAGTGGCTTCCATTGAAGCAAACTTAGTGGAGTATATGGTGGTCACTTGGGCCGACGTCCATAACAGATATCAATCAAAGATCAAAGTCGAGGACGACCAATTGGGGTTCCCCTTCATAGTTTGTTTACCCTAACAGAGCGAATGACATATCTAACAGAATCATCGATCAGGAGCCATGTCCTATCCAAGATCGATATTAGCCGTACGACACAAACTGAAGGGGAAATGGATTCGGGCACCACCCGACAAGGAACGACAAAAGAAATGATCAAGGAACCGAGCAACCAAGGCCTAATGAGCAAAAACAATTTTGACAGGTCGCTCGGGGGTAGGGAAACGCCGAGATTATCAAAGTACAATTTCAACATAAATGCTGCAAGAATAGTGTCGGCCATAGGGCGCATGAAAGAAACCAAGTGGCCTAGACCACTGCAGTTTGATCTCGCCCAGAGAGATCATAGCTTAGTGCGCAAGTACCACGGTACTCAAGTTCATAGGACCAAAGATTGTTGACATCTAAGGGAAGAAGTAGCTCGTGTATTCAACAATGGGCACCTTCAAGAATGCCTAAGCGAACGGGCCAAAAATCATTTCAGAAACAAGGATGCCAACGAACTGGTCGAATAAGAGCAGCCCCACCACATGATCAATATGATCATTGGGGGAGTGGATGCCCCCAAAGGCCGATGATAAAACGCACCAAAGATTCTATCACAAGGGAAAAATGCACCCGGGATTATGTCTCAAACGAGGCCATCTCGTTCAGCGACAAAGACGCCAAGGACATCATCTAGCCTCACAACGATGCACTGGTAATATTTGTACTTATCAATAAATATCAAGTTAAACGTGTGTTGATTGATCCAGGTAGCTCGGCCAACATCATCCGATGGAGGGTCGTAGAACAACTAGGAATGTTAGATCAGATCATATTGGCGGTCTGGGTGTTGAACAGATTTAACATGGCGTGCGAGACTACGAAAGGTGAAATAACTTTATCAGTAAACACTACCGGTACCAACTAGGGAAAAAAATTCTACGCGATCGAGGGGGATATGAGGTACAATGCCTTGTTCAGAAGGCCATGGGTCCACAGATGAGAGCGGTGCCTTCAACCTTACATCAAGCATTAAATTTACCACTCCATGATAAGTCAAAACAGTCTATGGGGGACAACCGGCCACAAAGGAAATGTTCGCTATCAATGAAGTAATCCCGGTACCCATGGTTTTGGCATCAAAAGGCGGGGAACTAGCCGAAGAAAAGTAAACCAAATAGCAATCAATGATCCCGACCTCAACTAGGTTGGAAAAACAAGATGAGCATATAGTGGACGAAGAGGATGATTACGGTATCCCCAAATCTTTTATAGCACCCGGTGACACCGATGACACTAAGTCAACAATCGAGGAATTGGAGCAGGTTATACTAATTGAGCACCTATGGGATCGAAAGGTATGCCTGGGCAGGGGACTAACTCCCGAGCTTAGGAAAAAACTTATTGATTTTCTTAAATTTAATGAAGATTGTTTCACCTGGTCCCATTTAGATATGATAGGCATCCCACCGGAGCTAACAACTCACAAATTGAGCCTGGATCCAAAGTTCCACTCGGTCAAAAAAAAGGCCGCAGTCTGAGATCAAACATGAGTTCATTAAAGACGACATATCTAAACTTTCGAAAATAGGTTCCATCCGGGAAGTTAAATACACAGATTGGTTAGATAACATAGTAGTGGTACCTAAAAAAAAAGAAAACAAGCTTAGAATGTGTGTAGATTATAAGGATCTAAATAAGTCGTTTCCGAAGGATTCGTTACCTTTGCCTAACATCGATCGAAT